GGAGCCCATGAGTGCTGGTACTGACGGACAAGACCTCTGCAACCTACAAAGTAGAAGGAGCCTTCGGCCGGAGTTGTTGAACGACGCGAGAAGCTAAGGAACGACCTTACATGGTCGCTACCTCCCGGTGAGATTCTCTGGATGGCTCCCAGAGTTATAAACCGGCGGATGGGGTGAAGAATATAAGACTCTTCTTGAATGGGAAGGGAGCTAATAATTGTTGGTGGGGTGGGAGAAGAAAGATGAAGTGGAACAAAGAAGATGGAAGAAGGGGGTTTACTGGAACTGTGGAACGGGAAGGATCTGAGGAAGGTGAAGAAGAAAAGTAAAAAGAAAGAAAAAAAGAAAAAGAATAAAGAAGAAGAATGAAAAAAATTGAAAAAATGAAAAGTGCCAGTGTGTTGACGGAAGCGTATACCATACAGCCGGCTGTACGGCTGGCACCGTACAGCCGGTGGTATTTTTTGTAAATTTGATGAACTTCATGATTTCTCTTACTATGAGCATTGATGTAAGTTGGATGAGCATTGAGTTTGTTCTTCTGAGTATTAGGAGTCTAACAATGAGCACCAGTGATCTCTGCTTCATATCTTCTAATTCAGTTTCTTTTTATTAATTCTCGCTTATAAAAAATTCTTAAATTGTGTTTATAATTAATTTCAATATGTCAATCTAATGTAGTATGATATGTTTGATATGTGCATCATTTTAAAATGAGCATAAATCAGTACCAAATGAGCATACATAATTTACAAAATGAGTATAAAAAAATCAAAACATCATTTGTGTATGCTCATTGATTTTGGGCGTTATATTTGATATGAGCATCATTTTAAATTGAGCATAAAGCAGTGCCAAATGAGCATACATAATTTACAAAATGAGTATCCAAAAATTCAAAAGCTCATTTGTGTATGCTCATTGATTTCGGGCATTATATTTGATATTTGAATCATTTTAAATGAGCATAAAACATTACCAAATGAGCATACATAATTTACAGAATGAGTATCAAAAAATTCAAAAGCTTATTTGTGTATGTTCATTGATTTTGGACGTAATACTCATTTAAGTTTAACAAAAAAAACACATTTTTAATGTGTTTAATATTCAGTTGTGTATGTTTATTTCTTTGAGGCGTATACTCATCTGAGTTTAATATAAAACTCATTTTTAATGTGCTTAATGTTCAGTTGTGTATGTCCATTTCTTTTATGTGTATACTCATTTGAGTTTAATATAAAACTCATTTGAGATGAATAGCAGCACAGATTCCTTTGTCTGCAGTAGGCTCCCTTTGTCTTCCAAAATCACAATCTCAAACACCAAAATTGAATAAGAAAAAGAGAAAACAAGAAAAGAGTGAAAAGAAAGACATAAGGAGGATCTGTTGTGTCCGTTTTGGAGGAGAATGAGATGAGCGGTGAGAGGCAACGACGAGCAACGACTTGGAAGAGAAAGAGACAAGTGGTGAGTGTATAATCAACCAGGTGTGAAGCCAGATCAAAGAACCAGACGAGATCTGAAGTTGGTGCGAAGTTGGGTGCGAAGTCGAGGAAGAAGGCCAGAGCTGTGAAGTCGAGGAAGAAGGCCAGAGTGAGATCGATCGAAAAAGAAGCAAAGAGCCAAAAAAGGGCTGGCTGTACCGTGCACACGGTACAGCCGGCTGTACGGTGTATTTTACTGTGTGTTGACTGTGTTCGTACAAAATAACCGGGCAATTTGTTCATTGCCGGTAAAAATGACGATTTGCTATTTTTAATTGAGTTTAAGGGTTTCATTGATTGAATTTTTAGTAGATGGGTTTAATTGATTTTTTTGAAAAGGTGGGGGCTTATTTGATAGTTTTCCCTTATTATAACCATCATTTCTAATAATTTTAATATGTACTCATAATATTTATTGATAGTAAAATAAAGAATAAAAATGTGTGTAAAAGAGAGATAAACTTAAAATGAGAATGAATAATTAAATACATGTTTTATATTTTTAGCTTGAGTTCGAGCATCTTATTCGAGTTCAAACCTATAAAAATTAATTAGTGAAACTTGACCCGAGCTCGAACCCGAATTGGTTAACTTGTCCAAGTTCGAGATCGAGATCAAGCTCATGAATTCTTATCAAGCTCAAGCTCAAACATATCCATGTCCGGGTTCGGCTTGGCTCGTTTGCACCTCTAATTATGAAACCTAATTTAATTGGATAAACACAACAAAGTTGTACTCCGTACTACGTTCTTTTGCACCTCTAATTGTGAAACATAATTTAATTGGATAAACATAACAAAGTTATACTACGTATATCATAGATATATTACATGCCTACAAATAACTACACAATTACGTAATAAATTTAAAATTGTGAAAAGTGAACTTGTTTTTTGTGCCGTTTGTAATGAATTGAAATTTTTCATGGAGAAAGGCGTTACTTTTTTACATATCTTTATACTCCCTCCGTCTCCCAGAAAAGTTCCTCATTGCTTTTCACACATATTTGAACACTGTTTGACACTGTTTTGATATAGATAATTTGCCAAATAAGGAAAGGGGAACTTCATTCAGAGACTACCCAAAAAGGAAAGGAAAGGGGGAAGTTGCTTCAGGGACGGAGGGAGTACCATCTAGTTAGCCTATATTTATTACTACATACTTTATTTATTTACTTTATTTAATTAGATGGACGAGCATACCCAAGTTCCAAGTTAAAACTCCCCGAAAGGTATATAAAACTTTTTAAAGCCAATCATGAGGTAGGGTGAAAAAAAAAGCCTATGCAATATAGTTAAGGATAGATAGTACGTTTTTTTTAATAAAGGGTGCTCTTAGCCTTCCATATCATTCAATTCGTGCTTAGGCCTATGCCAAGATTCACTATGGCCAAAAGCCAACTCTACCAATTTAGACTTTTAGACTTGTAAGAGCACATTAGTGAAAAGTTACTTTTAATGAGAGCATTTTTAGGATGCAAATCATAATGATTTTTTCATTTGATTACATTGTTCCAAAAGGTTGAATCGCCAACCCCAAGCGCCTCTCACGCCCCGACCCGACAAGACTTTTGGGAGGATGTAAGTCACGGTGACTCAGTCAGTAGAGTGGCAGTAGGCCCATGCACCCGTGCGCACCAGAGGCCCAGCCTTATTTCAGGTTCTGTGACCTCCACTCGGCCGCTGCGGGGATTCGAACCTTGGTCATTGTTCCAAATTTCCCACCACTCGACCAACTGAGCTACCCGTGCGGGTTTCATTTGATTACATAATTAGAGATTATGAGGTTTTGTTAAACTAGAGTACTACTCTGTGATAAATAAGAAAGAAAGACAACTACTCTATAATATTAAGAGTCTCCACTTGAAATTGCTTTTATCTCACACTATACCAAAGCACATGAAACTTAAAACATGCATTCTGATAATACTTAAAAATCATACTCTTTCATATATATGTTCATTTTGTGGAAGTTTATTACTCCGTAATACATGCCGCACCTTCTTTCTTAACAATAATCATTACATTAAAAGACAAGTTATACCAACTTTTTGTCTTACATTTCCTACATTTTTGCTTTCCCTTTCACTTTTTTCTTCAAAACCAACTATCCCAATAATATCACCTTTAGATCTCGTAAAAAATCCACAAGAGTAACTTAATGTTGATGCATGGATAGGGATCATTGTTTTACTTTTGTGCACACTCCCGCGCTCTCATAACACCTCCTTTATCCTTCACTCTCAGAGAGCTTAAACAATACTAAGCTAGTCCATTAAAGTCTGTAGCATAACAATTTCATTTATGCTAAGGCGTTGACTATCTTCATTGTATATGCTCATCTTCTTCAATCATCACTTTGTGAGTTTGGGTGCATTTTGACCTCTATTTTGCCAGAATGGAATTACAAAAATTACATGAGAGAGCAAGCATTGGGATTTTCATCACTGAAGAGTTGAGGAGCATGGAGAAGTTCAGGTGTATAGCCTTTGTAGCCTCCACTATTCTTTTCCTTTTTATTATTATCTCTTTCTCCTTGATCTTTTTCATTCTTGTTATCTTTCCTTTCACCCCCCTGTTTATTCACTTTCAGAATCTGAGCATGCCTTCCCGCCCTTCTGTTTATGAACTCTACAAGGGTTTCTGGGCTCATGGTACCCTTTACTCTTACTGTATGAGTCTTCATCTCTGCATCTACAGTTTGTACCCCTACATACATGCACACACCACCATAAACAAACATGATATTGTATTTGGGAAACTTTCGAAATAGGAGTACAATCATTTTGAAATTTCAAAATAGGACTGTCGTGTTTTTTTTCTTCGCTAAATAACAGTAATTACTATCAAGTTTTAAAAATATTGTCATGTTTTCGGTCTGTTCTGTCAAAACATGGTAGTAATTACTCCTATTTAGGATGATTTCCCTATTGTATTCTATATCGAGGCAAAGTCATTTGTTTTCGAGGGCGGAGTTTAAAAAAATTACATTGTGGAGTCAAAGATTAAAATCTTAATCATATATTTCACTTGTTATAAATATGTATACACAATTTCATTCTTGGAAATGCCAAGGCCTTCAGCCCGAGCCGGCCGTGTCTCCAAAATTGTTCTTTACCTGATTCTATAAACCTCATGTCAACCCTATCATATGATTTTACTACCGTACGAAACATATCACTTTACTATGTACTAGAATAACTCATCCGTTAATTTTTAGTCATAACGCTAGCGTCTCCAAATAATTCATATGTACTAAAAATGATCAAACTTGTGCGTTGCAGCGCTGCAACGAACAAGTTAGACCATCAGTATTTCATTCTTTATTAGAATTTTTTTAAAGAATCAGATTATGAAAATTTAAAATAAAAAGAATTTAACAATATTTACAAAAAATAAATTTATAGTACATTAATTAATAAAATGAAATCAAAGTAGAGTATATAAAAACTATAAGATTCAACTTCCAACTTAAAGAGAACCAAGGTATTACGTAAAAATGTTGTATCAAAGTAAATCATCAAAGTATTAGTGCCATATCCCACTTTATTTGGGATGAGGATTACTACACAAAAGTCATAGGTTTTGTTTGGTAATGAAGCTCTTTATTGAAAAACAGTATCCTACAACATCTTAAAAGTAAGCTACCAGCTTTATACTCTTCACTTTTGTTCCTCCAATGATGGTAGTCTTTACAAAAATAAACCCTTCAAAATACGTTCTTTATACGGAGTATCATTCTGCGCACAATAATTTTACCAACCATTTCAAAATAAAGACAAATACAAAGTAGGTGGTATTAACTTTCATTTTCATAATAATTAGTACTTCCATTCTCAGCTTAATTTCAATTCAACTTTGTTAACTATACGTGTGAAAGGTTGAATGCAAAAAAGTCTATATTCCTAATGGAGCCTTCCGCACTCAACTACGTAGTACGGAGTACTACTTATTACTGAGTACAAAAAAGCAACTCTCCTATTCATACTCTTAGTAGTGCTTATCTTTTGGTTTTTCTTTTTCTGTATGATGGATAACCAATTAGAGTAGAGACTCTTTTATACCCAATCTTACGGCTAATTTCCACCATAGTTCCCTGTTCATGTAATGTGTTCACAAGAAATGAGAAAATCTTGGACTGGCTGGGGGGAGACCGGAGACTTGAACTCAAGATTTCTATGTCTTGGAACTAGGGTTGAATAAAAAATGATCAAGAAAAGTTAACAAACATACAGTTCAAAAACCAAACAAATTAAAACCGAAACTTGCCAAATTATGGACGATTCCATTAAGCAATTTAAATTTTACCCGTAAAACCAAATCCGGGTGGAACATGGCAAAAATGACTGAAATCAAATCAACCGTGTAGGTAAAGTGTAGCCCGTGTTTGGGTGCCAATTTGACATTTTCAACCTTCTTTATAATATAAGGTAATTATAAGCTATGCCTATCTTACAAGTGTCCTTAAAATATTGTTTAACTACGAGCTTATAAGTGTCCAAGTATACCTTCTAATTTGTGGATGCATTGCTTCACTTCCTTAGCACAGCTTTCACAGTGCATATATATTTTCAATATAACCTCAATCACCTTCTTCTGTACTCAAAATACACAATAAACAATGTTTCAGTTTACAAAATAAGCCCAATAAGAATCTCTTAGGATGTTTTTAATTGAAGTGTAATTTTTTAGTCTAGTCTATTTAAGTCTGATTTAGTATAGTCTGGTCTGAACTTAAACGCTTCAGCAGAATTAGTCTAGTTTGGTAGATATTTGTTATATGTGTATTTCATAATTGTCGGAGTCTGATCTAGTCTGTTTAAATATAGTCTGATTTGAGACTTTAATAAATAGAGTAAATTACCTAAATATGACTAAAAACGGGCCAAATTGCACAAATAGAACTACATTTTTTAAATCCCCCAGTAGGACTATTTATGTGTGTTTGGACAGATATAGTCTTGTAGCTTTTAAAATGTTTTAATTAGAAATAAAATTGTAAAAAATAATTAAAAAATCGTAAAAATAGAAAATAAAATAATAAAAAATTGAAAAATTAATTATAAAATAAAAATTTTAATTTTTTAAAAATTAAAAAATTATAAAAAACTAAAATCGTAAAAGTTAAAAAAAAAACTAAAAAAAAAACTAAATCGTAAAAACTATTTATTATATAAAGATTTGATTATTTTTTGCAATTTTTTTGATTTTTTATTATTTTTAATGATATTATTATGAATTAATACCCTTAGGAGTATTTAGGATAGAAAATCAATATTTAGTCCTATTTGCGTTTTTTACGGAAACTTTAGTACTATATAGGGAAATAACTATAATAAATACAATTAAAAATATTCTAAAGTTCCAAAAAGTATTTATTTGGATATGCGGAGTAAGACATACCTCTTCTTTTTTAGGTTCTTTGTTCTCTTGTTTCTTGGGCTTGGGAATAGGTGAAATCAGCTCTACATGTTTCCCACTTTTCTTCCTTAACCTTTCTGTAACCTTTATAGGATCTGCTTTCTTCCCTTTAACAATTGCTCGGTGATTCTTCTCATCAACTTGAATTGATTCCACTCCTAAATTTCAAACAAACAATTTTTTTATTATAAAACCAACCACCGTAACAAGGAGTATTAATAGATTACAAATATTTATTCACAAATGCATGTTGAATTTAGGGCGTGTTTGGTAACGGTTGGAATGGCTGAAACTGCTGAAAAGACTGAATCTGCTGAATTGAAAGTGTTTGGTAATATATTGGCTGAAATGACTGATTGAATGTAAAATTACCATAAAGGATATTAATTTTTTGATGTTTTCTATACATTTCATTACAACTCACCCCTACCCCCTCAACCCTTATCGGCCACAAAATACCCCACACCTTCATAAAAGTGTTTTGAAACACACAAAGTATTGAAAATACTTGAGTATATAGAATTCAAAATTTTAAATATGAAGAAAATTGTATCACCAATGAGTTTTAAAAAATCATAATAAATTCAAAATAAAAAACAAAGCAAGCCTATAATTTCATGCCACTAAGAAACAAGATCTGCGGCAACTTAGGAGATCCAAGCTTAGCAAGTTGAGAAAGAATCGAATTTGGACTTGTGGAGTAGTGGAACTCGAAGGCTTAAAAAGGATAAATACATACTTTATTTTACGTATAACCTTTTCGGGAAGTCCCACTAAGATTGTCACATACCATATTTGGTAAAGATTGTGTGGCTCTAAATCATTCTAACTTTATTCTTACTTTATCAATTTAATATCAACCACACAAACCTACTTTTCTTAATAATCGTGCCACATTCCCTCGTCCCAATCTTAGTGGGACGGAGGTAGTAAATATCAGCCAAAGAACTAAAGAAGTAACCTTAAGGCCACTTTTTGAGCTGATAATAAGAAATTAAGAATCAGCCAAACCAGCCCATTAAGAGGCTGTTTGGTGATTTTTTTTGCATTTTAAGGCTTATAAGCTGATTTTGACTCCTCCAAACAGAGCCTCAGGTCTACCAAATGAAATGGTTATGGTCAAAATTTAATGGGTAACGTCCATTATGCCAATTAAATACTACGTATATACATTGAATATTGATGTTTTTATTTGAATTCATATTTTCTCAAACAAATAAGATTATAATAGCCCTAATAATAAAATGTACTCCGTACATGACTTTTCTAAACAAGATGTGGTTTATTTCCAGGCACCGTAATGGGCCAAAAGAAAGACCGCCGGTTACCCAAACATCATTTTTTCCTAACTTTTCAATCGCTCGACCAACAGAGCTATTTGGGCAGTATTCATTTTTTCCAGATTTATTTTATGCATAAGCTAAGATGAATATGCAAAGAAATGCATTTTGATTTGGGGATGTGAAATTACCATCGAAGCCAATGAGTGAGCCTTTGACCGTGTCTGCACAACCTTGGCAATGGATGTATACCCCCAACACAATGGTCCCCCCTGGGTTCTGTTCGTTTGACCCTTCTTCACCTTGATTTCCTTGTCTTTGTCCTTGTCCACCATCATTATTCTTCCCCTTCAAGTATTAATTAAACATCCATCAACATTCACTAAGATGATGAACAACAATTGTAAATGGGGAAAAACTTTTTTCACGTCTTATTTTACCTGAAGTTGTCTGGTGTGTACAAGCAATTTATTTAAAAATCAACGTGTACATGTCTGGCATATACACGAAAAACTTTTCTTGTAAATATAACAACGTGAAAACTCTTACATCCCAGAAATTAATATGAACAAAGGGTGGACTTGATGTTTTGGAAAACTTTAGTTTCGGGAAGAGTTATGAATTTGAACAAATATTATGAGTTTTTCTTACCTTCCCCATTTTTGTTCTTCAATTCCCCAATATGAAACCGCAATTGGAACTACTAATAACCGTAGTAGCTACCACACAAGATTGAATGGGTGTATGGATATATTGTAAAATATGTGAAATGACTCATTCATACAATGGATGATATCATATTTATACACACATGAATTTTAATCATATTATTGCATATCCATTCTTAGAGAGAAAGAGAGAAAAGGCATAATCGTACCATTGCAGTTACTAATTAGAGATTGTTGATGGATGATATGTGCATGGAAAGTTATGGAAACTAAGCTGTGTGAAATCACTGAGCACTAATTCTGTTACCTTAGAGAGTTCAATGAAAGTAATGACATCAATATGTGGAAACTTTATTGATAACAGAAATGAATTCATTATTCATGAGAAATACATTCATGTACTTGAGTACACAAGATTATTGTGTTTGGCTAAACAAATAGAAATGTAATCACTCTGCGATTCATATACTACGTATGTACATAAATAAGAGTTAATGCGGGCTATTAACTTATTTGTCCAAGTAAAATTGATGAACATAGGTACTTTGGGAAAATTGATTAAAGGTATTCCATATGTTCTAAATAAGCTTCCCTGTCGAGCCTACCAACTTCAGAAATTGTATGTTAAAGTTAATTTTTGAGAAATTTCTCTAAATAGAAGTAAAAGTATTTAGGAATTTCAAAAAATGAGTGACATGTACTTATTCCACAAATAAGAGTAATTATTGTTATATTTTGACAGTACTAGACATTAAACATGACAATATTTTTCGAACTTGAAAGTAATGACTCATATTTAAGGAATAAAAATATGACAACTCCGGATGCGGTAAAATTCAAATTATATTTCTTACTCCCTCCGTAACTTTAAAATATTCTCATTTCAAAAGTAGGTAGATTAAGAATAGTGAAAGATGATATGAATTATTGAGGCTATGATGGGAAAATGGTGGAATAATGTGGTGGAATGTAGGATAAATCCAAAAAAAGTAGTTGTAATAGTGTATTATTGTAAGAATTATTGAGGGTATGATGAGAAGATTTAGAATTGGGAAGATTTTTTTGTTACGGACGAAAAAGGAAAGTAGGAAGATTTTTAAGATACGGAGGGAGTATGATACTATTGTTTTTCTTTTCTTTTGTTACCATTTCAAACAAAGAAATGCTCGAGGCTTGATACATTTCTTCTATGAGTGAAGTGATTGTACGTGGTGTCACAGGTGTGGGTAATGTTATTTTTAGTCTATACTTCATCGTAGTCAGGGGCGGAGCTAGGGGAGGGCCAACCCTGAGCCTGGCCCAGCCCAATTTTTAAAAATATCTAAATTTTAGTGTAAAAATTTTCGAGTAATTTTTTTTAAAATATTCTTTGTATTGGCCCATCCTGGTCCAGTGTTTCGGCTCCGCCCCTGATCGTAGTCATAAATGAGTCAGCCTAGCTATTCCGTATGGGAAAAATATATTTCCACCGTCCCGGCTCGGACTTTGTCAATTTTGTTTTTTTTTTTGTCACAAAATTTTTAGGACTTTTCTTTTAATCTAAAGTAATGTATGTGTGGTTTTCTTATTTTTCTTTCATTTACTCAAATCTTAACTACAATTTTTTTTACTTTTCTTATTTTATATCAAATTAAAGTTGACAATATCCAATGAAACGGATAAAACATGTATTGCGGAATAATATTTTTTGTCATAATAAATAGTAAATACGTATTGGGTTGTAGTACAAAACTACATATCATGGTTGACAAATATATACTATCGTACTTAGTACTAAACATACAAAAATCTTTTTGTACACATTTTTATTATTTACACACTTATACGTACTGTATCTGTAGACAAAACACGTTTTGTATGTGACAGACAAAAAAAGCCTCCTCAAGCCGTGTACAAGTGTGTAAACAATAATAGTGTGTACTTGTGAACTACCATAGTATATCTTTTTCTAAAAAAGAGAAAAATACCATAAATTAATACCACCATTAGATACTTTAGGTATCAAAACTCACATTTTCAACTAATTAGTTGCAAACACACGAGAAAGTGCACGAACCAAAATAAATAAGGGAAAATGGAAACTAATAATCCAACCTTTTAGCGGTCTTCTTTCAATAATCCCACCTTTTGATTATTCATGAATAATCCAACCTTTGCACCTCATCTTCATTCACTGGTCCCTGACCGGTTGATGGCCTGCTATTCCAAGCTATTTTCTTATCTTTGCAAATCATTATACCATAAATCTCATCTTTCACAAAGATAATATTTTGGAAAGATAAGAAAATAACTTGGAATAGTAGCTCATTAACCGACCAGGGACCAATGAATGAAGATGAGGTGCAAAGGTTGGATTATTCATGAATAATCAAAAGGTGGGATTATTGAAAGAAGACCGCTAAAAGGTTGGATTATTAGTTTCCATTTTCCCAATAAATAATACACTCTAACTTCTTACAAATAAGAATGATATCTAAGCACAATAAATAATAGTAACAATTACAAATAAGAATTATATCTAAGGTAATATCTAAGCATATGGAAACTCTTGTCCAAAAAAGCATATGGAAACTCGGTTATAAAAAGAAAGCCCATTCCATATCATTATGGAGGCCTATTCTTGTTCGGATCAGATCATGAGTAAGGCCCATTCCATATCATGATCGTTTCTGTATGTGCTGAAACCATTCAGCCCCATTTCCAAAATCGGCCGGTCATAATCTCACCGCCGGAGACTCGGAGTTCATTGATATAAAGAACAATTAATTATACTAATTAATTAAATTAGGATAGAAGTAGTCAAGTAGAACGTTTAGTCTTATTTTCTTTTAAGGCAAAAATACCGGTATGATACCGAACCGGACCAGTATGGTACCGGACCGATAAACGAGGTTTGAAACGGATCTCAAATTTTTTTGTCCCGAACCGGTTCCAAACAATGCCATGACCGGTTCTCATAAAATGAGAACCGGTACCGGACCGAACCAAACCGAAGTATGGTTTATTAAATTTGTATTACTATAGTTTATCTAAAATATATTAATTACCTCATCCGTCCCAAATTGATTTGCAAAGCCAATATTTTTTTGTCAAAGCTAATGTTAAGTTCTTGATAATTAATACAATTTTTAATAATTAAAATTTACATATTTAGAAACCACATTAAAATCTCTCTAAAGTTGCAAAATCCAAATTAAAATATACGAAGTATGGAGTAGTTTTTTTGAAAGGCCAAATTAGAATATAATTAAAAAGTGAAATTCTAATTAATTGAATAAAAAGAAATTGTTTGACCAAAAAAAGATTGACTTTGCAAATCAATTTGGAATGAAGGTAGTATGATATATGAAAATTGATAAATTGTGTGGATTTTTGGAGAATGGCTAAACTTTAATTTTTTCTTAAACACCAGGAAATAGTGGCATTGTTTGGTATTGGTATGACATGGTACCGTCCCGTTTGAAAATGGACCGTACCGAACGGGTTTGGGTCTAAGACCGAACCGTACCGAACCGTTTCAATAGTAACGGTACGGGTACGGGTTCGGCCAAATATTGGACCGGACCGGACCGTGCCCACCCCTAGAAAAATATAACCCTACTTTTAGAAAAATGCTACTCCTATACCATTTTACTTTCTTTTGTAAGTTATCTCAAAATAAGTGTCCTATTTTCTTTTCCGAAAAATAGTATCTAATTCATGACATTTCATTTGATTATAATCAAATCTCAACTACAACATGTAGCATTTCAAAAGTAACTAACTAAATATTTTCTAACAGTTACTTACCTAAAGAGTGATTGTATATTTTTATCAGGCTGGTGAATTCCAAATTGAAATAAAATTCATTGATGTTCTGTCGAGCGCGACATATCTACATGTCTACTTGAGTCAGCGGTTACATGATTGGATAAGGATGATTAGTTTCAACCGTATTTACATTTTTACTTTTTATTTTTATTTTTTTGTTTGCTCGTTTTAATTTTTTTTTAGAGAAACTGGAAATTATCATATTTTTACTTTTTCATTTATTTTTTTGTTTGCTCGTTTTAATTTTTTTAGAGAAATTGGAAGTTTTCATATCAGGTTAGAAGCATAGAGATCAATATGACCAAATTAAGCTTCAATTTGTTCATTATACGTCTAGCGGTTTCAATGGCTCCAATTTGTTCATTATATGTCTAGCGGTTTCAACGGCTCCTTTATGGGTGACATAAAGGCCGTTTGGCAACACTGTTTTTCGGATTATCAGGCTTATCATCCAACTTTTTCATCAAATACGTAACTTTTGTTTTCGCGCGCTGAATTGTGTAATAAGCAGAAAAAGTAAGGTTGAAGTTACTTTTCTAGCTGTATTGGCTAAAGTTACTGTAAATGACTATTTTAGCTTTTTTACATATATTTTTTCTTTATTTTACTAACAAAATATATTTTATAATTTTTTTTCTTAAATAGGCAGTATCATCCAATGCAACCACTTCAACCAGAACTTCATAAATTTCAGAATCAATCAAATCAATCGATTTTCGTGCTATCAAACAACTCATGATCTAAGTATAACCATTGTGCTCCTAAATGAGCCAGATTTATGTTCAGTTTATTGTAGAAATGTTTGATTTATTAATTTAATAGAGTTGTCATTCCAAAAAGTAACTAACTAAATGGTTTCAATCTGAAAAGGTCTCCCTCTATGAATCCGGTAGGAAAGACGCATGCAAAGGCGACATGTACGAGGTACCACCAGTTTCTCCAACCACACGTGTCTCGACGCGCCGCATCCACGTGTTTCCCTCGCCAGTTCAGCTACACGTGTCCGCATTGTGAGATGAATGTAAACATCATCTCCATCTCTTTCCCAACTTCCTCTGGATCAAATCTCTGCCTTCTTCTCATCTCTTTCTTTTACTTCCCAAACGATCTCTTTCTGCAATTAATAAAGTTTGGCTACCCTTTACACTCATATCTCACTCCCAGTTTTCGATCAAGCAATACATTTAACTAGCAGCATTGAGTAAGTTTTCTTGTTTTAATTATTGTCATTAATTTGGTATATTTCTAAATTTCAACAACCCTATGATGGATTTTTTTTTGAAAGACTATGATGGAAATTTATGTTATGTGATAATTTCAAAACATTGAAATAGAACTATGTGTGTTCTGTTCATTTTGGATCTCTATAATACAAGAACACTATGTTGCACGGAAACTCGAAAATCAGGAGGAAACAGAAAACGGAAAACGTCAGCTTTTGTTCAAAAAAGTCTTATCTTGAAAGTTTCCGTCGAGTTTCCGAAACGGAAGCGTACTCTTTTTCGAGAGTTTCGGTGCTATAGCAAGAACATCATCACCCCAGCCCTGCAAAGGGCTCCCACTTATAATGAAAGTAAGGCGGGTTGGATGTATGCAGCTTTACCTCTATTAAAGTATAGAGACCGTTTCCGGATGATCTATACCATGTT